AAATTGTCCACATCCTTCAAGCTTTCAAAATATGAATACAAGTTTCACTGTAATTGAATGATGTTCCCTCATTCATTTATAATATTGTTTATTCTCTCTCCGCCTTCCTGATGGACTTGCTGAAGTATTTATCTTTACTCCTCTTTTCAACAGTCATCTTTTCTTTACTGTTTATCTTTCTAGCTTCTAACGAAAGCAGAAAAAAAAAAACGAATGAAAGAGTTTCCGTTTTCATCAGTAACTCTCTTTACCTTTTCTACTCCTTTCTATATATTTTTTGTGCTTGTGATTTCTCTCTTGCTCCTTTTCATTAACTCTTTGGGTTGAAAACCCTAGCTTATTATTTCCAGGTTATTTTTCCTCAGTGTATCACCTTAGAAGCAAAGCAGAAGTTTGATAAGGAGTGCTTATCATTCAGTTCCAAATATGTTACAAATTCCCCTTTAACTAGTATGGCCATGTAATGTATCAACCAAATTGAAACACCTTTGATAGTGAGTGACAGGAAGTGCTACTAATAATTATATTGGGATGACAGACATCAATCGGGTCTTGCCCATACAAATTCAGATGTATGTATATACATGAATTATTTCAGAGTGTGTTTTGGTTTTCAGGTCTGTGTGTGTGTGTGTGTGTGTGTGTGTGTGTGTGTGTGTGTGTGTGTGTGTGTGTGTGTGTGTGTGTGTGTATGTAAAAAGCAAATAACTTCGTTGATTTCTACTGTAATTATACCACTGATGTCAGAAAATCCAGTCCATGTGACACAATTTGAAATTTGCTGAAACTTCCTTTGTAGTCTAGTGAATGGTCAAATTTTTATAAATATTCCATATGTGCTTGAAAATAATCTGTTCTTCAGGGTTCAGCGTTTCTCAAAGATCACATACATTAATCATATTATTCAACTCTTGCATGTCCTTCATTTATTTTGTGCTCTACTTGACATCATTTTCTGATAGAGGTGGTTCAAATCTCCTGTTATGATTATGGAGTTTGAATTTTTCCTCATAATTTGCCAACTTTTGTGCTAGATATTATAAGACAACGTTTTTAGATGCTTATAGGTAAATATTAGTATAGCCTCTTGGTGGACTCTTTCCTTTATCATTAAAAAAGTCTTTTAACATTTTTATTAATTTTTAATTTCATATGTTTAATATTTGTTTTTGATTACCTGTCATATCTTCTTCTATCCTATTCCTTTATCTAAACCTTTCCGTATGTTTGTTTTCGGTGTGCTTTGGAAAAGCCACATAGCTGGACGAAGACAGCAGCAACAACAATAAAACAAAACAAAATATAATAAAACGCTTCCAATCTGAGAGAATCTCCCTTTTAAACAAGTAGTGAAGTCTGTTTACATTCACTGTGATCACCAACATATTTTTCTTTAATTCTTTTATCTTATTGTGTGCTTTTTATTTTTTATGCTTGTTCTTTGCTTCACCTATTCTCTGTTTTTCTTGCCTTCTATTTAATTGATTGCATTGTCCTTATTCCCTTTCACCTTTACTAGTTTGGAAATTATATTGTTATACTAAAGAAATAAACTTAAATTTTTAAAATCAGTACTAAACAAAGCCTAAGTCCCATCAATATCTATCCCTTTTTATTCTTATGAAATTGAAAAGGACTAACTTCATATCCAGCCCTCTCCCCAATCATCATTTTTTTCCTTTTGTCTAGTATTTTATTGCCACCTCGTTTTAAAATTCCCCTGAAGTTAACTGCTGTTAAATTGGGAGGGAGGTATTTTATCTAACATGTCTGTGTATTCAGAGCAGAACAGAGGCTTTCCCTGTCACTTCAGCCCACCACATCAATTGGAGTTCCTGATTCAGTAAGTCTGACAAATCACGTACCTTCTCTGGGTTCCCATTTCTGGCTGCAGTTGGGAGAGGCTTTGGAGGTCATCAAGAAAATGGGGCTTCCTCATTTTGCCTAAGACTCTAGGAACTGAAAAGGATGAATGATGGATACTATGATATTCAGTAGAAAAGGAAATTACTGTGGCTTGAGGGATCCAGGCAGGCTACTGCAGGAGCAAACATCAGTTACTCCTAGAAGAATGGGCATAAACGTTTCTTAAGCACAAGAGTGGTCAAAATGGAATTTTAGTAAGATCAATGAACAGCAGTTTACAAAAAGCTCTGTGAAGTAGGGGAGATTATTCTTTGCAGATAGGGAAACCCCATAGGGCACTGTTTTATTAGAGTTGGCACGAGGGGCCGAGGACCTGACCTAGGAAGGTGGCTGGAATTAGGGAAGGAAGAGCTGAGGGGACATGGTTAGAAGGAAGAGTTAGAGTTGGTGGGTGCTAATTACATACCAGAAGAAAGAAGTCGGGGTGCCAGAGCTGACCTCAAGGATTCCAACTGAGGGGCAAGGAGACTGTCCTTATTGGGTCCTGCATGCAAACTTTAGGGTTTTCAGGTACGTGGGTATTTGTGAAGACATGCCTTATATGGCGCATGGAGGGCACCGAGACCTCTGGTGGGAGGTGGCAGCAGTTAGCACTAGAAGCCTCAGTTGTGACACTAGACATAAGGTCACCGTGTGTTGTTGTCCTTGCTGCTAATTCACCCCGTTGGGGATGGCAAATCACTACTGGAAAAGTGATGGGTCTGAAGCCCAGCTTGAGCTGCCTTTCAGGGTCCGGGCAAAGGCTGAGTGGCTCCAAAAGGGAGAGGCCAGCTTCCGGAGGAGCAGGTAGGAAGCCTGCTGGACCCTGCACAGCGGCTCGCTGGTGTGGAATAAGAAGCTGACCAAGCCCTTTGTCCGCAAGCGGTTGTACCTGCCTGTAAAGAAGTGGAGGAAGGGAAGGTCTCCGAGATCTTAAAGATGGCTAATGTCAGGGGGCAGGATATCAAGTGTCTTTTCCCCTTTCTTCATTACATTTTTTTCTTTATTGTTGCAATTATTTACCATAAGTACCTGTAATTTGAATACTCGGGAAAAAAAAGTCATTTTCATCATGGGTCAAGCTACTCTTTCCAAGTACTGCCCGCTGTGCTTCAGCCTTACCGGCGTTATCTCCTCTAACTAACCTCATGTAGCTGTCGGGTCTCATTATCCTGATTTTATGGACGGGCTCAGAGGCTCGGGAACTTGCCTAGGGCCAGTGAAGGCAGAGCCGGATCCCACAGGTCCCCATCGCGGGCTCTTTGTGACCCTCAGAGCACGCGCGCGAGTCCTGAGGACCAACACCTGGCGTGCCTCGCTCACCTCGGCCGCTTAGGGCTGCTGGGGCCAGGATGAGCAGACGTCCGCCCCGCCCCACGTTCAAACCCCGCCCCCGATCCAGGCCCCGCCCCAGACACCGCCTCAGGGTCCACACCACGCCCCGGTGGCCCGCCCCTCCCCGCGTCGCCCCGCGTCGCCCC